TCGCAATTATTGAATGATTCAAATAAAAAAAATTGGAAATTTTGATGATGTTATTATAGAGAATCATTTTATTTATTTTTCAAACATTTTTATTTTATTTATTAAATATATATGGAAAATATTTTTTTCATAATCCAACTGATTCAACAAAATTTCAGCAAATTTAGTCGATTCAATCATACAAACATTTTTTAATGATTTGGTGGTTTTTTTCCGTTAAAAAAATTCTAGACTGAATACTAAAGTACTCCCTCCGTCTCATATTTAACTCCGGTTTTGATCGAGCACGAGTTTTAAGATAGTGAGATTTGTGTGGTGGAGAATTATGCAGAGGAGAGAGAAATGTGTAAGAATGGCTGTGAACCACATATTCTTTACCAAAAATGGAAAAAGGAGATAAATTTGGGACGGACCGAAAATGAAAGAATGAAGAAACTTTCGGGACGGAGGGAGTACCTAAAAATAGAGGAATATATTTCCCACTAGGGGTATCAAATACGGAGGAGCATATACATAACATTTCATCTTATTTATTAAGTTTGATAGGCTTGTTCCATTTCTCACATTTAGACGTCCCAAAAGAGTTGTCATCCATTTATTGCACTAATCGAAATCAAACCATTTTGGCTGGAGCTAGGTGTACACTTTTTTATGTACACTCGTTTGTCTCACGCACACAGAATTGTTTGTACACAAACGGGGCGGAGTCAAGACATTGGGTCGGAGTGGCCCAATACAAAGAATTTTTTTGAATTTTTTTTTACATGGAATCTTTTACACTTACAAAATAAACATTTTTTAAATTTGGGTTGAACCAGGGTCAGAGTTGGCCCTCCCCTAGTTACACACTTACACCCTGTACACAAACAACTCTGTGGGACTCTACAAAGTTGTCTGTACACAGACAAATTTGTGTGCTTGGACAAACGAGTGTATGAAAGGTGTATACAAAAAAGTGTAAAATTTTTTCGATTTAGCCGAGTTTAGTATGGAGTTCTACATATTTTTTCAAAAAACGATTACACGGTGCGCTAAGCTGCTAAGTGCAGGTATGTATTTGACGACTGGTACATCTCAGACAAGATTGGCGTTATCAGTTGTGTCACACAGTCGTGATGTGTAAAATAAAGTTATTCCCTTCCTTTTTTAAGATGTTCCTTATTTAAATTCACACTCCACAATAAAGTCAAAATGCTACGTTTAATGCTACGTCATAAACTAAGATTTATGTAATTAAAGTTGTTTAAAGCAAGGAGAATTAAAAAGGATCATAAATTATTTTTCTAGAATGAAATGAAATGGGCATAGTTAGGGGAACAAACGACAACAAAGTTACTCCACCACCGCAAAGACTCCTACCTAGCTAGACGGAGTAAGTAAGATTGAAATTATTTTGGTGATTAAATGGGCTCAATTTATGGTAAAATTATTTTTTCTACTTTTCCATATATGTTTTTCTTTATTTTCTTAACAAATACGGAGTATATATTAAATAAAATTACTCCATAATATATATATAAATACTCCTGAAGTAAAAGGTATGGTAACAATTTATAAATACGAAAAATGAATCAAATAATTAAAATTTTCCAAAAAAGAAAAAAACGCCAAAAGAATAAGAGTATTACATTTTCTACACTATTTATACTATACGTATTTAGTAAAGATATTTTCACTCCTTTGCCAAAAAAGATATTTTTACTCCGGTCACGGATGGTGTGATTATTTCCAAGTTCAGTATTTCATTTCGTGAGTAGCGATTCTGTCACGCCGGTCAACACAAGCCGTTGTCCGGTCAGGGTTATTTGACTCTTCTCAATTGATTTTTTTTTGATGAAATTTTTAGATTATTTCTTCATCAAGTCTAGTTCATCATGCCAACAAAATGTCAACTACAAATTCAATCGGGAAGTCAGTCAAATGTGAAATTATAAAACACAATGATGTTTACATATAAAGTGCAATGTTTTTAAATAATTTATTTAACAGTGTTCCCAATTGAATTTTAAACTGAAATATTATGGGCATAAACTAGATTTGATAAAAAAACATACTCAAAAACTGCACCGTGAAAAACTCCAAATGGCCTTGGTCAGATGGCATCTCCTCTCAGACCGGCTTGATAGGATCGCTACTCTTCCGTTCGTATACCTTTTTATACTTGATTTCAATTCTCGCAGGCGATCAAGCAAGAACGTAATACTGAAACAATTGCCTCTGTAAGGCTTAACGTAACACCAGAGGTCCCAGCTTTAAAGGATCCGAACCGCATATTAAACAGAAGACTCGTGGTTAGGGTTAGGGTACGCACAAAATTACTCCCAATTCGTTCAAGGCTGGTCAAATTATATGTCTAACCCACATCTGCTTAAATTAGAAATGGGGCTTTAGCAAATTCCCATCAAACCCAATCCCTCTTGACAAGTGATAAAAATCTCTAAAATCCCTAAACCATAAAAGGAATTAAGGATGTTTTTACAGGCCCACAAAACCATAAAAATCTCAAATTATACAATATACTTTTCTGCCGATTGAGTCTTCGTTTTGCAAGCCCACGTAATTAAGGATGTTTTTATTTAGAGTGTAATTTCTCCCAGGCCAGACCAGTTCAGACCAAACAAGCAAATTACAATCCAAGTAAAAACATCCTTAAAGAGTTAAGACATATTACGTCAACCCTCTTAGTCATATTTATGTCAAAGATTCAAGACTTTGTGATAGTGTCAAGTTTTAAGAGATTAAAATGTCCACAAATGCTAAAAGTACCCCAAAATGTATCACATTTTTACCCCGACCCCTAATGTGTGCCTTACATGAGACAATTCATTTAAGTGGGGCACTACTTAAATGGATTGCCTCATTTATAAACACACATTAGGGTGTGGGGTAAAAATGGGGTACATTTTGGAGTACCTCTAGCAAAACTCTAAAATGTGTACGAGTTAAGTTTCATAATGGAATGGGAAAAAAATTCCTTAAACAGAAATAATAGATAACAAAATTCCTCAAGCCACTTTCACAAATAAAGTACTTCTTAATCACCATTATAAATTGACATCTATAAAAAAAATATGTTCGTTGGTACACATATTTTGTACGTATATTGTGTACACCCCTAATTATCTTTCCATGTAAGCAATTTGTTAAAAAGATGCTTTGTAGACACACAACTAGACAAACGATATGTGTACAAAGTATGTGTACACCAAACATTGATTGTTGTAATTTTTCAATTGGTTTCCCCTTCTATTTTTTTTTGTTTTGTTTTTTTTTACTCCAGGGGGTCTGGGGGAGGGGCTGGGTTTCAAACCCCTATGTGTCTAGCGATTTTCGAAGTCGAGACCTCCCACATTGAGTGTGTTTTGTGTATGACGTATTTATCTTTCATAGATTCATCATATTATCTTTTAATCGCAAAATTGGACTTTTTAAATTATTCACAGATTCTACTTTGACTATATTTTATTTATTGATGAACTATAAATTAATTTTTTCAAAAATATTCTTAAATTCTTTTCATTCTAAATTTTCGAAATCTGATTTTTTTAGATTTTTTACTAATAAAGAATGAAAGATATTAATGGTCAAACTTGTGCATTAACAAATGTGAACAGTTGACTATTGCAATCAAAAAGTACCTACTACTCCGTATTACTTTAACTGTTCCAGTCGTGTATGGAAATTATAAACTCAACTTAAACAAGTCAAGTAAATCCAACCCACACGATCAACATCAAGATTAGGTCATTACGATTATTGGATTGTTTGGATCTTTACGTGCGCCAACCCTACCAGTGAATGTGCTTGATAAAGCAAAAAATAATGAAAACATTTTAATAAGATTTATTAATGTCTAAATGTAATTAATGATTATATAATTCTATAAAAAGTGTATCAGTTAAATTTCATTAATTAGTACGGAGTATAAAAAAATTCAAAAATGATGTTTATACCCATTTTTGTACCCATCTAAGATTGTGAAAACTTTTTTTATTTGTGAACATCGATTCATAGACAATATTTTGCACAAACAAAATAGTGTCTATGAACCGAGTTCATGAACAAAAAAGTTTCTCAAATATGTTGGGTATAAAGTACGTACAAGGTGGGTACATCAACCAAAAAATTTAACATGTACTAAATTATGTTTTTATTATGCCCCAACGTCTAATAATGCAGTGCTCATCAATGAAATATACGATCGTACTTCGTACAAGACATTAAAAAGGAAAAACCAAGAATATGGACATATGGGAATGGGCAAGAAGAAAAAACCTTGGGAATTGAAAAGTATTGAATGATCTAACAGTTGTTGCACTGCTCGAGAAACGAAGGCAGTTGATTTTTTGGAGTAACCTCTGCTCCTATCAATACTTGTACCAATTTGTTTTGTTTCCTTCCTTGGAAATTACTATAATCGATCTGAGTATTTGGAGAAGTGATTCTGGTGCTCTAACTTACTTCTAGAATCATTTTTTTAGAAAATGGGATGACTAACTTCTGAAAACTGATTTTGCTTCTGCTTTGCTTTAAGCTTTAAAAAAGAAAAGCACAATCACTTCCAAACACCCCTTACTCCACCTTCCTATATTTTTAACTCAAACTCCAAAACAAACAAAGAAAAGCACTTTTATTTTATTTATTTAGATAGATTCTGTGTTTCAGATATGCAGTAACTTTTATTCTGGAAAGTGTTTAATACGACAACGAAATTCTGGAGACCACATTTCTAGAGAATTATTATGAATTTATTTAGATAAAATTAGTTTAATTTAAATTTTGAACATAATTATAATCACTAATAGTTAATAGGTCAAAACATTTTTACCGATAATATTTTTAAAAAAAAAGATTTACCATTTTTTATAAATAAAGAATACGCTTTACCAAAATATGAAAAAAATCATGCGGAATGTTTTCTTTGTTGTTCTAAAATATATTCCATATTAAGGTAAAAAGAAATGAAAAAGAAGAGTTTGCTGAAAGAAGAAAGCAAGTACCAGAACTATTGAAGGCCCGAACAGGACCATTGCTAAGCATATTTAGCTGCGATTCAATCCGCCGCAAGAACTCCATTGCTTCTTGTAAAGGCCTCGTCAGCTCTTCTCTATACTTCACTAACATATCATAGTATGCTTCCTGGACCATTTTTTTTTATTTCATCAAAACCCATAAATTATTTTCCACAAATCTTTAATTTAATCCATGTTTTCATAATATTCATATTAATATACGGAGTATTTATTATATAAGAAAAATGACAAATCTTGATTTGAGAACATTTATGGGGCTATTAGTTGTACCATGAACTGGTCGAGTTCCGGGTCCTTAGATGATATATCTCTGCTACCCAGTATTGAATCTCGCTGCTGGGACTCGAACTCTTGCCGGACCACCCCGAGACGCGCCGCCACCTCCGGCGGAGCACCGACCTTTTGACAGTCCATGTAAGCTTCCAAGAGATTGGAATACTGAGGATGGGAAATGATCTTTGCCTTTATTATAGCTTCATCCTCGCCTTCAAAACTTTGGGTGTGATGAGAAGTATTGGTGATTCCCGCTTCCGTCTTCACTACGGGATGATCGTAAGGCTGCAAGTGGAAGTTTCCGGCGGAGGGTGTGGTGGTTCTGTCGTAACTCGGCGGTGCGGTAAGAACGGAGCCGGAGTATAAGAAGCTACCGGTGCCGCCTCGGTGCCCAGCAGCAGCCTCTTGCTGTCCTAGATGGTTGAAGTTCTCCATTGAACTAGAGGTAGAAACCCTAATCAAGAATCCGGCCCAACCCTAGCAGACCAGCACGGAATCGGTGGGTAGGTTGGCGAGCGAGTGGCCGTGCCGGGGAACAACTGCCTTGCAGACAAGATGTTGTTGCATCATCATTGTTCAAAGAATAAATAAATACTCTCTTCCATTTTACATTTGTCGACCAAATTGCATTTTATTTTCTAATTCTGAACACACATTTAACTTAACTAAAATACAACATATTTTTGTTAACTTGTACTTCAAAATTTTTATTTATCAAGAATATGAATCAGTTTTAGACTTAACATTTTTAATTTAGTAAAAAATAAGTAAGATTTGAATTACTTTTAGTATTGGTCAAAATTTCTGAACAATACCATTTTATTTATTTTTCATACTTCTTTTGTTCTTTAAGTTTTGCTAAATATATGAACTTCCAAAATATAAAATTTTTATGACTATGTAATTAAATATAATTACAGTTAATGTTGTGCTTGCCAAACGTGAAAATTAAACGGTTGCAATCAAAAGAGACCAGAGATAGTATAAATTTTTCTGATGAACTTATTATTATATTACCCAGATAACTCGTTCTGCATCAGACTTACGACATACCTTGGAGTTTGCGCATATCTAATGTTAAAACATGGACTAGAAACGCATACCCCAATTAAAGTATGAGCAACACGATTTCGCAAATCTCTTACAAAAATTAAAGCAACATTAAAATTGTCGGTACTTTCAAGAAGAGGTATAATATCATCTGAAATAAGAGTTAGACAAGAAGAACCATTCCATTTCTGGATACCCTACACCATGATCAAAGCATTACTTTGAATACCTACATGTTGTCATCGTTGTTGTATTTCCCCAAGAAGTGTCACTCTCACACACAAAGCTTGTTGTCGTCCACACCACTACAAAATAACCACGGGATTGGCAGGGACTTTGGCAGGGATTTGACAGGGATTTTGGTAGGGAAATGCCAAATTCGTGCCAAAAACATTTTGGCACGAGCTATTTGACACGAAAAATCGGTAAGTACTTGCCAAATTCTGTGCCAATCCCGTAATTGTTTTGTAGTGCACGCTTCGATAGACACCCATGTAGGTCCCCTAATGAATTCCCCATCCTCATTTCTAGCAATCCAACTTCACGCTCTGATTCCTTTCGCATCGTTGACCGCCGCATCAACGTTTATTTTCCTCAAGAATTAATTCCACTTTAGGTCCTCCGAATTTGTGTCATTTCCATATTTAGTCCTCGTCTTTCACTTTATCCATTTTTTGTGCCTGACTATTGTTTTCTTGACCATTTGTGGTCCATTTCTAAGCATTTTTACTATCGGAAAAGGACTATATATGGTCAAGAAAACAATAGTCAGGTACAAAAAATGGATAAAATGAAAGACGATGACTAATTGTGAAATTGGTGCAAAACTCAAAGGACCATAAGTGGAATTTCTTATTTTCCTCAATCATGGTTGTGACCACTACCATTTCTCCATACAAATGGTGTGCTTACTTGTTGTTGTAGAGTGATCGGCTATCGTCGATTCTTAGGCTTCCCGCCACCCAAGCAACATAAATAGTTTCCGCAACATTTCTTACCGCCACCACATCTGCATGTACTACTTTTAAGACTACTTCATTCCTTCTCTTCAAAGGCTTCAAAGAAGCATCACCAATTTGCGATTTTTGTCTCCATCTAGTGTTTTGATACACATTCTTATTCACACCTCGATCAAAGTTGCATGCGTCTTTGCAAAAGTTGAAAAAGATTGGCCTTCTGCTTGCCAAACATACCTTACAACCGCTGGAATCACCATTCCTTGGCTGCGTATAATGAAAAGAAGAAGCGAGTAATATGAGCTGGAAGAAAAGGAAATAGGTTTCATTGCCTTATTCCATTACACTGATCAATACAATCATTATATACTAGAGTAATGATGAAATACATGGAAGCGAAATTAAATAAGGAATGCTAAAATAATGGGATGAACGTATCATCAACCAATCATGCTCAATATTGAGTATTAATTATGTGATACGTAATACTCCCCCTCAAGCTGGACTATGAAGGTCACGAACACCCAGCTTGGAACAAAGATATTGGAATTGGTTCCGACCAAGAGCCTTGGTGAAAATATCGACGACTTGCTCTTGAGTTAAAACTGGTTCAGGCTGAATTTCGTGACTGCAAACACATTCACGAATGAAGTAGCAATCCATTTTCACGTGTTTGGTACGCTCATGATAAACTGGGTTAACGACAATGTGTCGAGCTGCCTAACTATCACAAAATAGAGGAGTTGGTGCAGAGATATGAACTTCAAAATCACGAAGCAACCATCGCAACCAAATGATTTCACTAACTGTGACCACCATGGCCCGATATTCGGCTTCTGCCGACGAACGAGACATCACGTTTTGCTTCTTGGCCCGCCAAGAAATGGGGGAACCGCCCAACGTGATTAAAAATCCAGAACATGATCTCCGTGTGAATGAACAACCCGCTCAATCTGCATCACATAAGCCTTGTAGGATAAAGTCAGCTTCAAAGGATATAAAAAACCCATTCCTAGTGTGGCTTTTAAATATCGAAGGATGCGATAAGCGACACTCAGATGGGTTTGGTGTGGCTGTGATAAAAATTGACTTAATTGATTGAACGCAAATACAATGTCTAGTCGGGTAATGGTCAAATATAGTAACCGGTCAATCAAACGTCGATACATAGCTGCATCAACGGGATCACTAGTGTCGTTTGGGTGCAATTTAAGGTTCTGCTCCATCGGGAAAGGGCTTCGACGACTACCCAACATTCCACTCTCCTGTAATATGTCTAGGATGTATTTCCCTTGGCTAAGAAAAAAACCAACGGGTGACCGGGCTACTTCAATGCCCAAAAAATACTTGAGTGGGCCCAAATCTTTAATGCATGGTGAACTTTTGGTGCAAATATTGTTTGATATGGGTTATATGATCAATGGTATTCCCCGCGAGTAATACGTTGTCGACGTATATGAGAGCAGCGGTGTATGTACTCCCGTGACGATAAATGAACAAGGAATGATCGGCGTGAGACTATCGAAAACCCATCTCCATGATTGCAAGCGTGAACTTGTTATACCAATTGCGTGATGCTTGATGAAGTCCATATAGTGATTTTTGGAGTTTGCACACGTGTGTCTCGCCTTTCCGTGCAAATCCCTGTGGAATTTGCATGTATACCTCCTCATGCAGGTCGCCATGTAGGAAGGCGTTATTAACGTCCAATTGATGGATTATCCATTGTCATTTGGAAGCAATGGCTAATAAACATCGGATGTTGACCAACTTAGCCACCGGAGCAAAAGTCTCGTGGAAGTCGATGCCTTCAATTTGTGTAAAGCCTTTGGCCACGAGGCGCGCCTTTCGTCTTTCAATTTCTCATGTGGGTTTATATTTGATTTTGTACACCCACTTAGACTGGATGGCTTTCCTTCCATGCGACAGTGGGACCAAGATCCACGTCCCATTTGCTTCAAGTGCCTAAATCTCCTTTTGCATTGCCTCTCTCCATAATGGGTCCTGGACAGCTTGGAAAAAATACTTGGGCTCATCATGGTGAGTGATGGCTGCTAAAAAAACACGGTGAGAAGGAGAAAATTTATCATAAGTGAGGAATTTAGTAAGAGGATAAACCGTCGAGTGTGTCGCATTGGATGTGGGTATGGAATGATCAAGCGACGGTCACAATGCTACATCAAACTGCTCCAAGTGTTTAGGTTGTTTCCGTATGCGGTCACTTTTCCGTGGCTCTAAGGCATTGTGAGATTCTGTAGATTGCAACGGGGGGTTGGTAGTTGGTACTGAGTCTTCATGTGTATGGGTAGCATGAGTAGGACCACCAGCCACCTCAGCTTTTGGGATGTTACTTCATTCGGCAGAATTTGTAAGGTGCGAATGGCTGGCCTTGATGTGTGCATGGATGGAGTGGGCACATCCAGGACACGTGATAGTGCCATGCGAACCTTTTCATCAAGGGATTGATCATCTGTAGGCACCATGGTTTTGAATGGGAACATTTTCGAAAAATGTTACATCCCTGGAGCAATAAATTCTTTGAATGCGTAGATCAAAGACTTTGTAAGCCTTTTTACCATAGGCATATCCGATAAAAACACAAAGACTCCCCCTTTCACTAAATTTGTCCTTTCTTGAATTGTCGTGAGTATAAACAAGACACCCAAAAACCCGGAAATGCTTGTAGTCTGGAGGTTTTTGTAGAAGCACCTCGTGGGGACTCTTATTGTTGAGGATTGGTGTGGGCAATCTATTTATAATATAGACTGCATTAAGAATGCATTCTCCCCAAAAATCGACAGGCAAGCCAGACTGAAAATGTAGAGCTCGAGCGACTTCAAGGATATGGCGATGTCGGCGCTCCACCACCCCATTTTGTTGAGGAGTGTCTGTGCAAGAGGTCTCTAAAACGATGCCATTCATGGCGTGGTAGTCTAACATCACATGAGATTGAAACTCGACTCTGTTATCGGTACGAATGCGTTTGACCAAATGGCCAAATTGGGTGGGGATCATATTGCAAAATTACTAAAGAATGAGGTGCCTCAAATTTAGTGCTCATAAGGTAAACCCATATACTTCGTGTAAAGTCATCCACAATAGTGAGAAAATAGCGTGCACCAGTAAGTGAAACACATTTGTATCCACCCCAAATATCATAATGAATTAAATCAAAACTTCATTGGGTTTTGTCGTTTTGATATAACTAATAATAGGGAAAGGGAGCCGAGTTTGCTTTGCTCTTACACACGAATCACAAAAAGGGATATCTTTTTTGAAACCATGTAAAATAGCAATATGATTTAATTTTTCATCAGATGCATGTCCGAGACGCCGATGCCAAACTTCAATTTGAGAGGAAACTTGCATTGCCACACGTCCGCTTTCAAGAGTATCCATGTAATATAAGCCGTTACGGCACCTACCCACTCCAATCGGCTTCCTTGAGGGTAAGTCCTGCAATACACAAAAATCATCAAAAAATGTGGGAGCACAATTATTTTCTTGAGTGAGCCGGTGGACGGATATCAAGTTGCAGCGGAAAGATGGAACAAAAAGAACACGAGATAAAATCAGCCTATTAGGTAGGTATATGCTACTGACGGAATGAACGGGTACAACATCACCGTTTGGTATCCGA